ATTGTGGGTTGACAACTCCCACAGCACGTCGTCCGGATCTACCCACAGACACTGATGGTGTTTGATGTTTGAGGAAAATCGATTCCGCCACTTTCCAGATAAAGTCCGCATGAAGCACAGGCTTGTCACTGTTTTTGCAGAACAGAATAGGCATTCCACAAGCACTGTTCCAGAAGATGCTGGAAAATCTTTTTGTAATATTTCCTCTGCTGTTTTCTCATCGCCGGATAGAAATTCATAGGTTGGTCAGCTCTGTCAACACCTCCCATGGTGTTATTGTAGTCAATAACTACCTGTGGCTTCGGAATGATTTTCCCGCCTTTTGTTTGTACCATCACTGTGGAGGCATTGTGAATGGTACTCACACACATCCTTCTTGTCCCGCCATCTAAGTGCCATCATTTTGCCTTTCTGCCGGGCAACTATTTCTCCCGACTTGGTTTTTTCCAAACATCGATGGCAGGTTGCGCAGGTTAACCCGAACGGTTTCATATGCATCCATTTTGTGCTGCAGAAGAACCTCGTAAAGTTCTGGAGAGGTATAGAAATTGTCCGTTGTTACACAGTAGCCTTGGTTTAGCAGAGACTCAATCAGTGACAGGACGGTAAGATGTTGCCATTACATATTTGCTGTACTTGGGATCAAATTTTGTGCCTTTGCTGGTGTATATAACTGTGTTCCATATGTAGCCGTTAGAGGATTCGCACAGCAGGTAGGATTTGCGATGTACTATATCCAGCTGAGCCTTCCCTAGTAGGCCATTAGACTTTCGTCTATGCTAATGTCTCTCTCTGGCATATAGCTGTGCTGGAAATTTCTGAAAATTATTTGGGAGACTTCCCAAATTTTTTTTAGCTTGGGAGCTGGATGAGATGTTTCATCAAAATCCTCATGTTTGCGAAGTGAAAAAATTTCATAAGTGAAAAGCTGTACACTGACATGACTGTGGCAAGCATTTTGTTTGTGGTCCAGTACCGCTTCTGCAGCGGTTTCTCCACCACTCCTTGCAGAATAATTAGGCCAAGAAACAGCCAAAAATCCTCTTTGGTTACAGGTTCCCACTTTCTGCTTTGTGAAAACCTGCTGTATGGAGCAGCTAATTGTTGCGCTGCGTACTTATTTGTCTCTGTCACAATTATTTCAATAACCTCATTGGTCAGAAACAATTCTAAGTACACCAAGGGGTTGTCACCTTCAACATGGACTTTCATACCAGGTGCACCGGTAAACGGAAATCTTGGTGGTGCTGGCGTACCGCAATCAATAGTGCACCACGTTTGCAGATCACTCACGTCAATCTCAGATTCGCCACTGTCTTCACTGTCGATGTCTGAAGACAAATCACCACATGAGTCGCTATCGCTCAATTCACGTAGCTCCTCGCTGTCGCTGTTTGCTAGGTCATCATAAACTGTTTTGGCGCTAGCGAGATGCTTTTTGGAAGCCATGAGTGCAAAACCATTCTTAGTCACAGAAACTGCACTATGGATATATCTGAGTTACAATGTATGCACTAGAGTAACACTTTATTTTGACACAGGTCTATTTTTAAAACTCCTGCCTCCTACAAACCCCGCCCCCGACAGCACAGCATGGCTGTCTCACGCTGATCACACTGATCAGCGTGCGATAGCCGGGAAGGAGACGGGACGGAGGAGATGGCTCGAGGCGGCTGCAGGACCTGGGACACGGATCGCAGGACCAGATATGTATTTGCGGTGACCCCGGCTCTGTTTCGGGGTTACCGCTTTTGACAGCTAGATTTAACCCCGAGCCAGGCTCGGGAAAACCGCTAGGGAGGTTAAAGTAGAACTATATCCAAAATGTTTTGTTTTTATTTTCATTCTGGATAGCGTAAGGGAGGGTTATCACCCCCTGTCAGTGTTTTTGTTTTTTTTGCCCTCTGTGTCCCATTGGGGAGATCTTTTCACTTCCTGTGTCATATCCTAAACAGGAAGTTAGAAACAATCCCTCCAAAGTAAAGGAAACACCTGGTTGTTACCAGAACAAGTGCCCCATTGAAAGATTTGTCCTCCTGATGACAACCCAAAAGTTGGGTTTGTTTCACTCTCAATGCTAATAGTAAACAGGACAAATAGGGTGAATTTCCCCTAATAGGAAAGAGATTGCAATAAAAGCCTGACAGGTGTTGTAATCCCTCTTCACTGTATCCTAAACTAAAAAAAAAAACTGCCTTTAGTTACACTTTAAACTTAAATTTTATTTTACATAAGTAAAAGCTAACCAACATAAGCACCCCTGCCAGTGATAAATCATTTGTCCCAACCTTCTGTCACATTGACTGAATATCTATCTTGGTCTGTTAAATGTAATTTTGTGGCATTTCATTAAAGTTGAAAAAACATTGCTATGCATCTTTAGCCATTTGCCCTCCAGAGGCTGTACCCCCCTTCCTGACCAGGCCATTTTTTTGTTTACAGCGCTGCGATACTTTGACTGACAATTGCGCAGTCATGCAACACTGCACCCAAATGAAATTTATGTCCTTTTTTTCCCTCGAATTGAGCTTTTTGTCATAAATTTAGGCCAAAATGTATTCTGCGACATGTCTTTGCTAAAAAAAAATCCCAATACGTGTAAATTAATTTATCTACATGAGAGGTTTTTTTTTTTTATAGCGTTTACAAATGGCGGTATAAATACTAGAATTTTTTTTTTTCCCAACTAGTAATGGCGATCAGCGACTTATAGTGGGACTGTGGTGGACATTCTGACACTGGGGAAACTGACTTGGTGTCACTGACATCCCCAATGACATCAATACAGTGATCAGTGCTTAAAAAAAAAAAAAAAAAAAAAAAAAAAAAAAGCATTGACACTGTACTAATGGCACTGGGCAGGCAGGGGTTAACATGAGGGCAATCAAAGAGTTAACTGTGTGCAGGGAGTGTTTTACAAGGGGGCAGTGTGTTGGTGCTTCACTGTAAACACAGCCATCCAGAGTAGTGTGCCTGAGCAGACAGGGAGAAACTGTTTGGAAACAAAACAGTCCTCCTCTCCGTCGGTTGCTCGGTAATCACTGGGTGCCGGCGGGTAATCACGGGCCGGGACCTGGTGATTTACAGCAGCAAATGGCGGCGCATCCCCTACCTGGAAATGCAAAATCGCGTGTGTGTATATATATGTGATTTTGCGCACCCCTGCCACCCTGTAGCAGTATATCTGCTATAGGGTGGTCGGGATGTGGTTAAAATGCATATCACAACCACTAGTGTAAACAAGATCCCTTGATGGATACATCAGGGGTCTATTAGAATGCTAAGATCTCCCCTGCACTTTTCTTTAACAGATCCAGTACAGAAAGTATTCTATCTGTGGTCGGCACAGTCACGACAGCTTTGAATCCAGAAGTGTTCAGAGCAGAGCACTTCTAGATTCACTGTAGCAAGGATAGATCAGTTATGTGATGTCTCATTCATGCCTCTCACTGGCCGTTCTGACAACCGATATTGTGGTCCTGGGCTCCAAGGAGTGGGGATGCTTGAGACCCTATGTTTGGATTTTAATCTTTAACCATTTCCCGCCCTCCACATAGTAAAATGGTGGACACAAGGCGGTTCTCTCGTTCTGGGAGGACGTCATATGACGTCCTCCCATTCTAACTGTGCATGCGCAGCTCCGGGAGCACGCAGCATTGCGATCGGCGGTGCGCTGTGTCCCTCGGACACAGCTGATCAATGGAAAGAGCTGAAGATGTCGGCTCGGTCATGTGATCAGCTGTGTCCAACCACAGCTGATCACGTAAACAGGGAAATGCCGGTTATCGGCATTTTTCTCCCCACGAGCTGTCACGCTGACAGCTCGTGAGGAGAGCTGAGCTGGTAATCGGCATTCCTCGGAGGGGACATGTACACAGATCATCAGAGCACTGATGATCAGTGTGCCCCGATGATCTGTGTAGCCCCAGCAGCGCCACCTGTCTGTGTCCATCAGTCCCAGCTCTCAGTACTCATCCATTCCACCTGCCAGTGCCCATCAGTGCCACTTCAATGCCACATGTCAGTGCCCATCTGAGCTGACTTTCAGTGCTACCTATCAATGCCAGTCAGTACCGCCTATCTGTGCCAGTCGGTGCCATATATGATTGCTGCCTTTCAGTGCCCATCAGTGATGCCTATCAGTGCCACTTACCAGTGCCACCTATCAGTGCCCATCAGTGCAGCCTCATTAGCGCACATCAGTGAAGGAGAAAAATCACTTATTTACAAAATTTTATAACAAAAACTAAGAAAAATAGTTTTTTTTTTTCAAAATTTTCAGTGGTTTTTGGTTTAAGAAAAAATAAAAAAAACCCAGAGGTGATTAAATACCACCAAAATAAATCTCTATCTGTCACAAAAAAATAATAAAAATTTAATATGGGTACAGTGTTGCATGATCGCGCAATTGTCATTCAAAGTGCAACAGCGCTGAAAGCTGGAAAATGGCCTGGGCAGGAAGGGGGTATAAGTGCCCTGTAGGCTAGTAGTTAATAAAAAGAAACAATATGTAGGGTTAAAGCACTAAATTAACATAAACCTTCAGGAGCAGTGACAGCATATTAGCACATTATGGCAGACTTAACTTTTTAAGTGATCTCCTCCCAGAGCTTCGATGTCAGCACTTCTCTCCATTACTGGTGCTTCCATCTTCTCCAGGTGTTCTTCTGTGTTGAAAGTCTTTGGCCACTTGTTTGTCTGGGCCCTGGTGACATAACTCCCACACATGTACCAGGTTGAAGTAACTCAGGTGCACTTAATTTTACTGAGACTGTACAAAGCTGTCTCCGGTAGTCTTACAATCAAAGTGCTGGCAGGCAAGGAGAAACATCTGTAACAAAAAGAGACATGGTAGGTTTTCCCTCTATTCCTGTTCTGGTGGCCGTGACAGTGTACTTATCCTTTGGAAATAATTAAAAACAAAAACCAGGTGTTAAAATGTTTTAAAAGTTATGGACTAGTGCATTCATTGAGAACTGAATTCTATTTAATCTATTTTGCAGGCGGAACGTGATGAGGTTTGTTACCCTGACATCCTGAAGGCTGATGAAAATGGACGATCTGGAGAAACTAATCTTCAGGTCCACAAACCTTTTCCTTTTAGTTTGATATGTCAGATATAAGGTTACATGCACTCAGCCGTAACAAAATGCAATTTAGTGTGCCATTTTGTTTATGGATCTCATGGCAGTTGTATTGTTTTCAGTGAGGACATGCACATAAGTGCATAAACATGTGCTGTGTTCACATCCCTAAGCAAAAAATGTAAAATCTGCATTTGAGGACGTGCATTTATCACGCATTTGCATGTAACTGCATGTATACACTTATACATACATGCACAAAATTCATTCTGGCATTGAAAACATCAGAAGAATAGAGAACTAGAATTTTACACATGTCAGTGCATAAGCGTCTTTATGTGTTTAAATGTAAACGCAAGCATTTGATCATTTTACTTTTTGTGCAAGAAAAAGTATGTGAGCCCCTCGAAATTAACTGGTTTTCTGCAGTAATTTGCCATAAAATGTGATCTGATCCTCATCTGAGTTACAACAATAGACAAACACAATATGCTTAAGTTGCTAACACAAACCATTCTGATTTCTTATGTCTTTATTGAACACACCAGAGTGTTGGAAACATTGATTGCTGGAAGAAAAAGTAAGTGAACCCTTAACAGTAGTAGCTGGTCAAACCTCCTTTGGCAGCAATGACTTCAAGCAAGTGCTTTTGATAGCTCTGGATCAGACCTGTGCAATATTCAGGAGAAATGTTTGACCATTCCTTTTTATAAAGCTACTTCTGTTCTTACACATTTGTAGTATGGTGTGTATGGCTCTCTTGAGGCTCTTCAACAGCATATGTATGAGGTTAAGGTCTCCCCTCTGACTGGGCCACTCCAAAAAACACGTTTTCTTTTTTTGACGCCAGTCTGCGGTGGATTTACTTTGATGCTTAGGATCATTATCCTGCGGCATCACCTAATTTCTAGCGAGCTTCACTTAATGACAAGAGGTTCACATACTTTGTCTTTCCACTGTATATGATCAGTACAGTTCTTATGGTCGTGTGCATCTAAGTAAACTTATGCATATGCCAGTTATTTTAATGGACGGCAGCACTGCCGGTTTTAAAATATTAAATATATATTTTTTTTTTTTGCATACTTTGGGGAAAAAAACTGTATTTTTTTTTCGTTAAGGACAAATGCTATTTATTAGCAAAAAAAGGCCTGTATAATATATCAAAAATGTATTTAACAGTCTATTAGTTTAATGGCTGTGGCTTGCCAAGAGCTTCTCTCAAAACATATTGGTCTATGCTCGACACAATGACCTTCAGTGCCTGCTTATTTTTTAAATAAAGCCATGTGACGCTGTCAGCAGATTGTTACAGAACTATTGGGCATTCATTGGCAAATACTCTGTGGGGCATCATACTGAGGAATGTTAATAAACAGCTTGCATGTAGGAAACCATTAAACATCACAATTTCCCCTACAAACTTTTGTAAAAGTGTCTAAACATTACAAACCATTGGAATAGAGTAAAGTGTCATTGAACTGAATTGGTAGCCAGTGATTTTAGTAGTCTGTAACTTGATTGTAAAAGTAAGCCTCCCAAGCCTCACTGTGAGTGGGTGAAGCTGCCCATGATAGTCCAGTAGTGATGAATGGTATAGAACAAGCTAGAATCGCCGCAGTGCTCGCATGGCAGGAGATAGCTGAAATTATATGCAGACTGTCAAAAATGCTTGCTATTGCAATCAAATGTCGGATTAGTGAAACACTACAGGTTTGGTGTAAATTTTCTCACTGATAAAACAAAGTAAGCATCAAAGACAATGATGGTGGACATTTGTCAAGCAAATCAAGCTGTACCTCCTTCAGCAGAGTCTCTGTGACAGGTTTTCAGCCTTGTGCGTCTTGATTCCTGGGCAACTAAGTGCAACAGTTTCCAAAGTACAAAGACCAATTTATTAATAAAGATGAGACAGCTTTCCACTGTACACAGACCTATAGTTTAGAAATGGTGAGGCTTATTACATTTGCAAGCGCAGACTTAACAGGCAAAGATGGAATTTATTACTTCTACTGTAACCTGGTAATAAATCTGTCTTAAATGTGTCTCACTGCTCCTGTTTAGCATTGCTTTGCCTTGTGAGAGGATTGATAAATATCCCTTACTGTGCATTATGCCTTGTTGTAGGTGTATCTGTTTAGGCAAAAAAAAATGTTGTACTTTGTGATATTGTATATTAAAATATATTTTTGTGTTTTTGACTTGCATAGGAGGAGCTGCAGGTGTTTCGAGCATGCTGGATGTCCGAACTTACTCCAGGAGGGAGTTCTTCAGGAGTAGAGGCTCAGTCCAATAAAGTACTGAGAGGATCTCTTGGGAAGGTCTCAGATACCAAAGCTAAACAAGAACTGGCCAAGGAGGAGATGGTAATTTTTTGCAATGTTTTTGGCAACTCCGAGTTAAACAATGGTTTGTTTTCCAGTGGTCTGATAACATGGATTGGAGTATTTTGAAAGAAAATTTATACTTTAAAAATGTAAACTTTTCTTGATGACATTTTTGAAAAATATTCATTGCTTAGTTGTTATGTAGATACTTAGACTTTGAGGTACTTACCCAAAACAATAAGAAAATAAACTTTCTAAACTTAGACTTTCCTCTAACTTTACTAGCTGCAAGCTTGTTCTAAGACAAATTCTAAGTACAGAAGCCACTGCCAGACGGGGGTACCTAGTAATTTCAGAAGGAGGTTGGTGCTCTCAGCCTCTGTATTACTTGCAGTTAAGATTTATTTTAAAATTTTAAATGTTAAGTATGACTCTCTTTGAATATACGATGTGTATTATAATTTTGTATCAATTGAGCATACAATGCAGGGGGGGCGGTGAAATATTTTTTTTTTTTTTTTTTTTTTTTTTTTTTTTAGTAATTTTGAATGGATCAGCAAACATAATATGTACATTTTTTTTTTAAAACAGGCCAGAGAACTTTTTCTTAAAGCTGCAGAGCAGGAGCAAAATGGAGCACTCTATGAAGGTAATGGGTTTTGTTATATGCCTTTAGCATTAAACCAGTTTATTGCAAAGGTTTTACGAAGTAGACTGAGCTTTGATTCAAAAAAAGTGGTTAGAAACCATAATCCCTTCTTCATTTATATATATTCCTATAATGTCCTTCCCTCTCCATTTCACAGACGGCAGGATGTAGTCAGAGTTGAATGTGAAGCCCCAGAAATTTACAGACTAGCACTTGGCTTTATTCCCTACTCACTTTCTCAACACTAAGCTGCAAGAGAGAGAGTGGAATGCACCTGCGTGGGTAAGGAATGAAGTGTAGTGCTCATTCCTGCGTTGCTGGGGCCACGTATCCAATGCTGAGTACATCCTGCCATCTGCAGACTGGTGAAGGGTGGACAATTATATGGGAATCTTAAAAAATAAGCATTTTTTTTACAAAATGGTGCACAACATTTTAATGTATTAAGGACAGTCTGATGCAATGGGAGGTTGTGGGGAAACGTACGTGAAGGTGAGCTAACCCTTTTAAAACTGATTTCTTCGTTTTAAGTGGAACCTGAGCTGCTGAAAACACCAATTTCTTATTGCTGTTTGAAAACATAGTAGTGCAGCATCCCTGTCTGTAAAAATGAGATGCTAATGGAGATATGATTACTGTCTTACCCTTTCTGGGGCAATTAAAGGAAGAAAAAAAATCCAAGGATGTTTTTATGGCTAGAGCTGAGAAATCCACTGTGAAAATGTCTTGGCTACAGTTTTATGTAAATCATAACAATCTTAAAATATTGTCCTGTTAACATGCATGTTAAAACTGCTAAATTTCAGGGAAAAAAGTGTGTATTCATTATATTACACCCACTTTCAATAAACTTTTATAATTTCCTAAGTGTTATAGAATCTAGTTATGATACTTGAGAATGTTATATGATGTCACAAGTTCTTATGCTGTCTCCCACTGTATTGTTTTAGCTCATGGAATCAGCATTGCTTAACATTCATTGTTCACGAATCATAGGATTTGCAACCACGTGACTATGGGCGTGTTTGTACTGCTCTAAGTTTTATAGCTAGACCAAAGTTCTCTTGTCACCTTTTCATCTCCCAGGAAGTATTTGCTGTACCCAATGTAGTCTTTATACTGAAAGGTAAGAACTAGGCATGTGTTAACACAACTTTTTTTTTTTTTTTTTTTCTTTATAGCTATCAAGTTTTACCGCCAAGCCATGCAGCTTGTGCCTGACATTGAGTTTAAAATTAATTACAACTGGTCCCCTGATGGCGAAGGGAAAAACTTGTATGTATCAAAAACACAGCTGTACATGTTTTAGTCATGAAATCTTTATGATGGCATAATTTCTGATGCCCAGTGAAATAGAACCTGTTCTACACAGTTGGGTTTGTGACTCATGTAATTCTGTCTTAACTATCAAAGTGATTTATACCTCTTACAAAATGGGTTTTAATGAACTTGGATTTTTCTTCAGGAAATCTGCCTCACAAATTATATATTATAAGGGAGAAAAGACATAACAGCAACGCTAATCTTTTGAAATATATTTTTTTTTTTTTTTTTTTTTTTTTTTTTTCTTCAGTCTTTTTTTGGGTTACAAACTGGTGCTATCAGAAATGGTGTAGTGGCATGAGTCTTCAAATTGTCTTATTGAAGTACAAAACGTCAGTCAGTATATAATGTTGGTAAAATTAGGAATTCAAAAGTGAATAAAGAGAAAGCAATCAAGGACGTTTAGGGAATAACAAATTACAATGAAGGAGAGGGGAAAGGTCATAGATGGGGGTGAGAGGTCGCAGTCATCTTTTTTAAGGAATTAAAAATGAGTGGGATTATCACAAAACATTCTTTGCAGTAAGAATGTTTATGCATGTTGAGGCTTTGCTTCCTTTTACAAGTTCATGATTTTAGGGGCATTTGGGAGTGATATCTTAACGTCACCATATGATGGTGGTGAGCGTTTTATGTAGTGAATGTGTATTGTGTTTTGCACTCCTGTGGCTGTAGTTTTTGTGTTGTTTTTGTGTTAGTTTTTTTTTTTTTGTTTTTTTTTTTTGTTCTTGGCATACTGTATTAAAGCTTTATTAGGATTAAGGCCTCATTCACACAGGCAGTGCCAAAATTGCATTTATATGCATTTAGAGGGCGTTTCTAAATGCATATAAATCTGTTATGATTTTTCATTGGTGCCATTCATACTATGTGTTTACATGCCTTTAGAGAAAATAGAACCTCTGCTTCCAGTATCTGATTAGAGATGGCTAAACACATGTAAACATGCCCAAACACGGCTAAATCTGCTTCTAAGCAGGAATATCTAAATGTGAGATACATTTATCTGGGAGGCATAGTAGTTGGTTATACTTCCTAGTAACTGCTTATGTATTTAAAAAACTTAATACAGGAGTACCAGTGTGAATGAGGCTCCTGGCTAAGTTGTGTTTTTTTTTTTTTTTTTTCTTTCTTTGAAAGGATTTGATTTGAAATATGCTGTAGTTCTTCCCATGGCCTTTTTATTGGGTTAGGCAGTTTAATTCTAACCCTCCAACTGCTTAGACTTTTTCTTTATGATTCTGCGCAGAAAAGAGTATTTTGAAAGCATGACTTGAAGCAGGGAGTGGATGATACCCTTAGCAGGCAGGCTTAGCTGAATATTTTTTTCAATATTCTATAGTAGGTTTGTTGGACATGTATCAATTGCAGAGCTCCTGCCATGAAATGGAATTTTTTTTTTTTAAATGCCTGTTGTTATTGTCATACAATTATACATGGCTCAGAAAATGGAGTTTGCAAAACTGGATTCATCCCAACCTGTAGGGCATGCATTAACTGCTTCCCAACCGCCCTATAACAGATATACTGCTACAGGGCGGCAGGGGTGCACAAAATCACGTGTGTGTATATACGTGATTTTGCATTTCCGGGTAGGGGGCGCGTGCCTACCCACGCCGCCATTTGCTGCTGTAGCTGTCAGTTACCGGGTCCCGACAAGTGATTACCTGCTGGCGCCCGGTGATTACCGAGCATCTCCGACGGGGAGGAGGACTGTTTGTTTAAAAAAAAAAACAGTTCTCCCTGTCAGCTCAAGCACACTGCTCTGGATGGCTGTGCACCAATACACCACGCCTAGTAAAACACTCCCTGCACAAAATTAACCTTTGATCGCCCTCATGTTAACCCCTTCCTGCCCGGTGCCATTAGTACAGTGTCAATGCGTCTTCTTCTTTTTCTTTTTTTTTTTTTTTTTTGTTAAGATAACAAACATGTCATACTTACCTGCTCTGTGTAATGGTTTTACACAGAGCAGCCCTGATCCTCTTTTTCTTGGGTCCCCTTGCCAATGATCCTGGCTCCTTCTCCCTGCTGAGTGTCCCCAAAGCAAGCTGCTTGCTCTGGGGGCACTAGTGTGTGACCACTCCCAAGATGGCACCTGTATATCCATAAGACATACAGAGTGTGGCTCAGCTCCTCACTAGCTGTGATTGGCAGCAGTAGCCAGTGGCTCCCTCTGCTGAGTCTCAGCCAATGAGGAAAGAAAGACCCGGGAATCTTTTGGTTCTCATGTACAGCATTGATTGCGATTACATGTATTAGGAGGGAGCAACACAGTGAAGGTTTTTTACCTTCAAGCATGAAGGTTAAGAAAAAACCTTTAGCCTTTAGTACCACTTTATTACACAGATTACCATACCTCTCTTTTAGGAAATCAGTGTTGAATACTTTCCATGAGGCTCTGTTTAGACATTAGGAACTGCTTCTATATTTTGGAGATGTGGGGTTTAGGACAGACTCCATATGGGTTTTTTCACTATATTTGCACCTTTGAGACTACATAAAATACTTACAAGTTTAACCTACTCCCTTCAGCATCTCTCAGTGCATGAAGCAAGGTTGTCCATTGTTTCCCCTCTCCTATTGGTTCTTTCAGTATATTCTTGGCACAGTTTGTTTAGTACTAATATTCATAAATGGCTACCAAAAACCTTTACAACTTTATATATTTTTAGAGTTAAAAACAAAAACATTTCTGTATGTGCAGGTTTACTTGTGAAAGGGATATTTGTTTTTGTATAATGTGTGTTGTATGTGTATATTATGAGTGTGTTTGTTGTGGGTTTTTAATATAGTTTTGTGTATTTTGCAACTTTCATTTTTCTTTGTTATAATTTCACTTTCTTACTATCACCAAGGGAGGAGGACCTTGTTTTAATTTGTAAAAGTAACTGGTTGGCTGTATAGCCACCCTGAAAGCACAAAAACCCAGGGGAGTCACTTTTAAAACAAGTTCAAGACTCCCATTGTAGTTTTAATCCTTCTATTACTTTACGTACGTAGTGAGTCCATCACTCTTAAATAAGCATATGTTACCCTCTTTTATGTCTGGCTGGCGATAGCCTCTAGCGACAGTTCTTGATACTCTATAGTTCAGCTTTCAGTCATCCCACAATTGCAAAATGCAGAGTTTTCTGAAGTGTACAAATTATGTGACACTTTAATTACGCGTTGCATATTCTTGATCCATTATCTTTGTGTTCACTCTAAATTTTCAAACTTTAAAAAATGTTTTTAGATGCATGTATCTTAATTTACTTTGAACCTTTGCTGTACAGTTATTACCCATTTTCAAGTAAAATGTATTTTTATATTTATTTTTGCTCATGGACACTTGTTAAGGGTCAGCTGAAAATTAAAAGGCATTGCTCTGCAACACACATTGATGCACTGAAGGGACCCTTAAGGCTTTTTTTTCTTTTTTTTTTTTCCCCCTTCTGATCTTCTTGATGTCGGAAGGTTGGATCTCTAATTTTGTAGTTATTATTATTATACAGTATTTATATAGCGTCAAAGGGTTTGCTCAGCGCTGTACAATAGCGAGGGGGGACAGAACATGAGACAATACAGTAACAATACAATACACGAGGGGTTCGAGGGCCCTGTTCTTTCGAGCTTACAACCTTGTGAAGCTACCTTCTTTATGTGCATCAGTTTTGTACTGTCCTTATAAAATAAGATGAAACCATAAAAGTAGAACTATAGGCAATTTTTTTTTTTTTTTTGAATAGCGTAAGGGAGGGTAATAACCCCTGTTAGTTTTTGCCATCTGTGTTCCGTTGGGGAGAACTTCCTTGAGTTATTCATGAGTTGCTCCAATTTATGAAAACAGTTCCTGCACTATTCTCGGCAATTTCAGGTGTCACTTGCATAGACATCTGTGTATGAAGTCGCACAAATGTCAGGCATGTTGCACCTGAAATTGTACTAACCCGCGGCTTTGAAATCATGCTACTTCTAGGCTTACCTGTAGGTACAGTATATATCTCCTAAACTTGCGTCCGGTGATTTCACTGGCACATGTGCACTGCGCTTTCCATGGACGGATCATTCAAATGCGCTGTCTATTCAGAGCACTGTGCCGTGATCACGACTCCCATGCACATGCGCAGGAGTGACGTCATTGCAGTCCAGCTGTTTGGCCACAGCGTGCAAACCTGGAAGGAAGACCAGGTGAAGATGGAACAGTGACTACGCTGCTAGAGGGATCCGCTTTACAGGTAAGTCTGTCATAATTTGAGACTTACCACTACTTTAAGAAAAATTAAGCTGTACAGTTTGCAGTGTAGAAGAACTGAAATCAGACCTTGGGTTCAGTCACTAGTTACAAATCCCTCTGTACAGTCTAACGCATTAGGTTGGCTATATTAGCAGTGTGGATTTATTGCCCTCTGGCTATAGACTAAAATGAACCCTGTATGCCTACAGTCAAAATATTTTTCTCAGCTAAAACTTCATAGGACAGCTGACATCATCATGGATATTATTATTTTTACATGTACATCTATACATTTTATCTACAGCACTGGTATCTTGTAGTATGCTGACTATGAAGACAGCTCTCTGGAGCTTGTCCTTGATTTAGGCATAGTTTAAGATCAATGGCACCTAGGGATTTATTTGCTAGAACTGAAGAGTGCAAAATCAGGCTCACTACTGCATAGAAACCAGTCTGCTTCCAGGTTTTATTGCCAAAGCTTAATTGAACAAGCTGAGGTTAAACGCTGATTAGTATCTATGCAAAAGTGAGCCTGATTTTGCACTCTCCAGATTTAGAAAATAAACCCCATATTGTCACAGTTGACAATGCAAACTGTTGTATAGAACGAATTTTGTTGTGGGGCCCCGTAATTCATAGTTACAGCTCTGTTTCCAACCCATACTGTAAATTTGCAATACTGTTGCCTTGATGTTAGTTACTCATGCGCAAAGGTTGTTTTATAATGGACTTTACCTTGTGCCTGTTTGCTTGGCTTTTCTTTACTGTTGGTATTGCTCAGTTGTATGTATTCATAAAATAACCTTTACCTATAAAGTAACTGTGTTCTATGTTCTGAGTGGTTATGTGGCAGAAAACTATGCCAGTTCCTGCTTTTATTTACAAACAACTGCTTGTACTTTCAGTATGGAAGATGCCAACGACGATAGCAAGATGGCTGACTTACTATCCTACTTCCAGCAGCAGCTGACCTTTCAAGAGCCTGCACTTAAATTGTGCCAGCCAGAGTATGATGTTACTCAGACTCATATCTCAGGTATGCTTGTACATTTGTTTTTTTTTATGTATTTTTCAATATCTGTAAACACTAAGCCAGTGAACCTACCAACTACTGATGCTTTTGTGCCTTTTGTAAAAGGAGCTGTCTGCAGCATTTGCCAATATGTATGTAAAACACAGACATTTGAAATGTATATAAAAGGCTATGTGTCTGCACAAACCTACAGTATGTATTCACCGTGGTAAGGCTGCACAAAATCACGTGTGTGTGTGTGCATATATATATTTGATTTTGCATTTCCGGGTAGCGGGGCACTCTCTGCCATTTCCGGCTACAGATGTCGATCACCAGGTCCCGGCCGGAGATTCCCCGCCGGCACCCAGCGTATGCCAAGCATCATTGATAGGGGAGAGACCTATGTGTAAACAACACAGGTCTCTCTCCTGCCAGCAGTAGCATACTGCACAGCAGAGAAATACACATCAGTATATTTCCCTGGTAAAACAGCACAGAGTTAACCCTTTGATCACCCCAGATGTTAACCCCTTCCTGCCCAGTGTCTTTAGTACAGTATCAGTGCTTTTTATTAGCACTGATCACTGTATTAGTGTCACTGGGGAAGAAGTCAGTGACAGTCAGTCAACCCCCCCCCCAGTGTCAGAATGCCTGCTGCAGTACTATTTGTAAGTCGCTGATCGCCGCCATTACTAGTAGAAGAAATTAAAAAAAAAAAAATCCAGTATACATCCATTTGTAGACGCTATAACTTTCACGTAAACCAATTAATTTACTTTTATTGGGAATTTTTTTTTAGCAAAGACATGTAGCAAAATACATTTTGGCCTAAATTTATGACAAAATTAGATTTTTTTTTTTTTTTTTTTTTTTTTTCACTTTTTTTTACTGAATGTTTGTTTTTTTTATAGCAACAAGTCAAAATTATATATATTTTTTTTTTTTTTTTTTTTTCAAAATTGTTGGTCTTTTTTTGTTTATAGCACAAAAAAGAAAAAATGCATAGGTGATCAAATACCACTGAAGGAAAGCTTTATTTGTGGGGAAAAAGGACATAAATTTAATTTGAGTGCAGCATTGCATGACCGCGCTATTCTCAGTTAAGGTAACGCAGCGCCGTATCGCAAAAAATGGCCTGATCAGGATGGGGGGTAAACCTCTGGAGGGCAAGTGGGTAAGAATAGAACTTTTCTTTATAACACCTTTCAATTCTGCCCAGTTCCAAAAACATTTATGTACATAACTGTAAATATACACTCTTTATGGAGGTAAACTGTTGTAAGTTATTTGTTCTTAAAAAGAACCGCAGGCAAAATAAAAAATTCTGAATGAAAAGTCTGATGTGTTTAGGCATCCTCTGCTGTATCTGCTTGTTTGTATTTGAATTCATTGCAAGAATAAATGTCTGAATGCCATGAACTACCAATGTAGCCATTATAGACCATAGAGATTCATTAGTGAACCAGTGCCCCATTCAGTAACTGCTCTTAAAAAAAGAACATACAGCTATGACTAACCCTGAAAGGAATTGATGCAGCTTCCGGTCAACCAAAAAGAAACTGCAAGCAGTCATAACCTGATATTCATACAATTAGTTAATACTACACTGACCAGAATTCCCATTTACGATCTACTGAAAGATACTGAAATTATTCCCAAAGGAAACGGTGTTTGTATTCTTCTACCTGTACACAGGAAGTATGCATTCCAGAGCCAAGCACCAGTGGTATAATCCTGGATCATCCCAAAATGGCTAGAAACAGTTGCTTCAAGATGAAATATTTACTTTCTGTTTTGCAGAGCTCCCTATGGAGGTACTGATGTATGTTTTCCGCTGGGTGGTTTCCAGTGAGCTTGATCTACGATCATTGGAGCAATTATCCTTGGTCTGCAAGGGCTTTTATATTTGTGCAAGGTATTACAGTCTGTTACGTTGAATAAATATTCAGATGGATTAACACACAGCTACCTGAATGATAAAGATGTGTTGTGCACATAAAGTATGTGGTGGTAAAGAGGAATCTGGAAGCTGTGCCAAAGGCAAAGGACAGGTCACCAGTATTGCCTATGATCTTCCTGAGGCTGATCTTTCCCTAGTACTGGCTTACTAGAGTGCTCAGCATTAATGAGTACACCCGAACAGATTTGTCAGAAAACCTTTAACTTTCCTTTCGGAATCAACATTTTCTATGGGACGCTATACTACAAAATACTCCCCACAAATTTGGACCATTGATTACAAACAAGATTTGTTAATTTGCACACACAAAAAAGTATTTATTTTTCCTAACATTCATTCAAGACCATGTTGCAAAAGTGAATACACCCCAATGAAAGTCTTAGAAGCAAAGTTAAATTTTAGACCACAAAATCCTAATTAACAAGAATTTAACTACAGTATTTATTCATTAAACAGGTGTTCAGCAGGTAGTTGATTATAAAAGGGCGTTACTTTCCAAAGAAAACACTTTCCCATTTCATGCTGTCAGCAATGGCACCACGTGGAAATGTCTCAAGGCCTGAGAAAATAATTTCTTTACACAAGAAAGGTGAAGGCTACAAGAAGATCAGCAAATCTTTTACTTACAGTGGGGAAAATAAATATTTAATCCCGTGCAGATTTTGTAAATTTGCCCACTTACAAAGAAATGAGTATTAATTTTATCATAGGTGTATATTAAACAATTGAGACAGAATATAAACCAAAAATCTAAACATGATACAAATGTTATAAATTCTGTAGCAATTCAGGGAGCAAAATAAGTATTTAATCCCCTACCAAACAACAATAATTCTGGCTCCCACAGACTGGCTGTGTGCTCATGTGGTACACAGATTAGACCTGTCAATTTAAAAATGTGCTCCTAACAACAACGCATTGTGTATAAAAGAATCTTTCTTGGGAACCACCGTGGGCAAGAGCAAAGAGCGGTCAGTCGCCCTCGGTTTGGTGTTCCATGCAAGATTCGACCTCATGGGGTAAGGATGATCATGAGAAAAGTGAGGGGTCAGCCCAGAACTACACGGAAGAAGCTTGTGAATGATCTCAAGGCAGTTGGGACCACAATCCCCAAACAAACCAATGGTAACACAACATGTCCCCCTCCTTGAGAAGGCACATGTACAGGCCCGTCTGAAGTTTGTCAGTGAACATCTAAGTCAGGGGTGGGCAAATGTGGCCCTACAGCTGTTGTGGAACTAAAAGTCCCATAATGCCTCTGCGAGTCATGATGCAATTGTCTGCCTTTCAATGCCTTATGGAACATGTAGTTTCATGACAGCTGGAGGGCCGCAGTTGCCCACCACTGATCTAAGTGATTCAGAAAAGGATTGGGGAGAAAGTGCTGCGGTCAGATGAGACAAAAATGAAAAATGAGGGGCCAATGGACAGGGCCATGTATTGTAAAATCACGGATGAAAACCTTCTGCCCTCAGAACACTGAAGATGGGGTTGTGTATGGGTCTTGCAGCATGACAATGACCCAAAACATACCGCCAAGACAACAAAGGAGTGGCTCAAGAAGAAGCACATTAAGGTCATGGAATGGCCTAGCCACTTCTTTAATCCTATAGAAAATTTATGGGGAGCTGAAACTTCAAGTTGCCAAGTGACGGCTAAGAAACTTTAGGATTTAGAGAAGATCTGTAAAGAGTGTACCAAAATCCATCCTGAGATGTGTGCAAACCTGGTAACCAACTGCAAGAAACGTCTTGCCTCTGTGCTTGCCAACAAGGGTTTCTCTCCACCAAGTCATGTTTTGCTTGGGGATCAAATACTTATTTTACTCATTGAACTGCAACTATTTGTATCATGTGTGTTTTCTGGATTTTTGGTTGACAGTCTCTCTCTATTATTTGAAATATACCTATGATACAAATGAGAGACCCTTCATTTCTTTGTAAGTGGGCAAACTTACAAAATCTGAAGGGGATCAAATAATTTCCCCACTGTATAAGTCTGAATACTGTAGCAAGTGATACAAAAATGGAACTGCAACCATCTCACAGAGACATCTAGGCCGTCCATGGACATTAAAACCTCGAGAGGCGCATCGTCTGATGAGTAGGGTTGGAGAAAATCGCCATGCAAGTTCACTGCTTTTTAGTTTTAGCTAAAGAAGTAGAAAGCCAAACTGGGGTGATTATTTCCCGTGACACAATACGGCTTACACTGCAGAAGAATGGCATGCATGGTGTTGTCCACGAAGGAAGCCTCTCCTAAAGCCCATGCACAAATAAAGCCTGCCTAGAATTTGCCAGGGCCCATGCTGAAAAAGAAAAAGACTACTGGGACTCTGCACTCTGGAGTGATGAGACCAAGATGCAATTTTGAAGTAATCAGTTCCAAAAACTTTTTATGGCATCACAAAGGTGAGGAGTACAAAGAAAAATGCATGGTGCCTAGAGGGAAACGTGGTGGCAGTGTCCTTTTGGGTGGCTGCATGAGTGCTGCTGCAGTTGGGGAGTTTCATATCATTGATGGTATCATGAATTCACAGATGTACTGCTCTACATTGAAAGAGAAGATGCTACTATCACTCCGTGCTCTGTCGTCATGCACTTTTCCAACATGACAATGATCCAAAACATACATCTAAGGCCACTGTTGCATTTCTGAAGAAGAACCGGGTGGAAGTGATTCAGTGGCCAAGTATGTCTTCTGATCTGAATCCAATCGAACACCTATGCGGAATTCTGAAGAGACTAGTTGAGCATCACTCTCCATCCAGCATCCAGGCTCTAAAAGAGGTATTCTTGAAAAATGGAAAAAAGATAGATGTTGCAATATGTCGAAAACATGTTCATTCCATGCCTAGAAGACTTGGTGCTGTCCTTACAAATCATGGAGGTCCTACATAATACTAGATGTAGTAGTTTTTGTTATGGGATGTATTCATTTTTGCGTCAACTTACTTGAGTAAAACGGAAGATTTTGTAATCCTAAGTTTATATTATTAACCTTACTTTTATGTAATGAGCTAAACAAATGTTCTATAAAACTCAGGTTTGTCAAAATGTTGGAACTTTTTCTTCATTAAAATCTTACTTTTTTTAAAGGGGTGTAATCCTTTTATGCTGAGCACTGTATGCCTTATTATACACTGTGTGTCTGTATGAAGGCGGCCATCTTGGTAGGGGCAGAGTGTTGCTATCTTATGTCAGAGCCTCGAAAGAAAAAAAAAAAAAAAACATTAAGCAACACAATAGTGACATGACCAAATCTCACTCTAAATCTGAGACTAGCAGAGGCAGCAGTGCCTTATTCAGCTATGTAGGCACAGGAGTGCCTAGGCACCTATACATACCACGTGGTGCACTGCCGATTTTCAGGAGAAATTCAAGAAAAAAGTAAAAAAAGCTTAGGTACTGCTTGGGCATAATAAATATCTTGTGTTCCCTATACTATAGCAAATCATTTTTGAGTTTAAGTTCACTTTAAGGGTAAATTGACACCCACTTCTTTGCCCATAGAAATGTTGCTTTCTGCACTTGCTGCAGTATACTTTAGTGTATGCAGCATGGTTTAGAGCTGACGATCAGCTCTATTGTAAAAAGCAATCCGAGCAGCTAACTAGCCACTGGATCGCTTTCCGCCGGCTGTCCCATCCTACTCTGGTGTGTGGCATGTCCCTGAAACTCCTTCTCCCCAGCGTGTCACCGCCTGGCAGTGCAGCTCCCCTTCCCCAGATCCGGGGCCTGCTATAAGGTGAATACTTGTCCCTGGAGCTGCTCCCCCTCCCGGAACGTCACCACCGGGCTAGTGCTCTTCCCCTTCTCCAGGTCTGCTGCCTGTTGTATGGTGAGGGCCTGTCCCCAGAGCTCCTCCTGGCATGCGCCCCCCCCCCCCCCCCCCCCCCCCCCCCTCACCTCACCGAGCCTGCAGCACGGTGAAGTCCGGTCACCATGGAAAAAGAGTGCAGGCTGCCCCGGCCTTCCCACAGATGCTGGGAGTTGTACTTCTTTCTCTGTTATGTACCCAGATGTACAGCATATCAAAAGATTGGATGATTTGTTACTCGGGGGCCCTTGGTGAACCTTTCAAATTTATGGAGGGGAATGCCCAGTAGTCAGGGGGGAGACCACCATACAGGGAACAGAGTTCCTCATATAAACAATGGAGCCCTATTTCACACTAATGTGATGCGGGAAAAGCACAGGATTTGCTGCATTTCCCGCATTGCAATTGCACAGCATCCATGCCATTTGCTGCAGGTGCCAATGTTAACGACACCTCAAAACAGATTGCAAAATGCAGTGCGATTGCCAGAATCATATGGCATGGGTGTGACCGGCTCTCTTGTAAAAGCAATCTGGGTGACTAACTAGCTGCTGCATTGCTTTTACAAGCAGCGGGAGAGGATGTCCTGCTGCCTTCCGCAGGCTGCTCCATCCCACTGGGGCACCCAGTAGACCAGCCAATGCTTCAGCCAGCTGATCATAGGAGGCAGACAAAGACCAGAACTGCTCTGTCTGCCTCCTATGATATAGGAAGGAAACCGGAAGCAATAAATCACGTCCTATTGCCCCAGATTTAAACAGTGCCATTTTAAAAAAAAAAAAAAAAAAAAAAAGCATTTGATCACACCGATCTTGGTGTGATCAAATGCTTTAAGGACATCCCCCCCCATGCTTGCGTGCAAAGGCAAAAGCACGCGTTGGTCCTGCACACATGCAAACAGCGATTGTTCCACATATGTGAGGTATCACCGCAAACATCAGATCATGAGCAGTAATTCTAGCACCAGACCTCCTCTGTAAATCTGAATTGGTAACCTGTAAAGGTTTTTAAAGCGTCGCCTATGAATAATGCATTTAAATTTACATTGTTGCCATTGCACAGGGCATGCACAATTTTAAAGCGTAACATGTTTGGTATCTATTTACTCAGTGTGACATCATCATTTTATTTTACCAAAAAATGGGTTATGTATTGTGTTTTTGCATTAAAATTAAAAAAAAGTGTAATTTTTTTTCCCACCCACCAATTTATTCTGCAGGGCCTCTGCTGTAAAAAAAAAATGTTTAGGGGTTTTAATGAATTTTCTAGCAAAAAAAAATTAAAAACAATAAATGTTTAAAGTAGTCATAAAGCCCCTTTTTTTTTCATTTTCAAAATCCCCAGACATTCCTAAAAACACCTCTGCCTAATAAAAACCAACCCTGCATAGTTTCCATCCTGGAAAAACCATTATTACTTTTGTCTTGTTAAATCGGAACAAGTAGATCGGGACCCCTTTTTTAGTCCCTGGACAACTAGTGTGTTTTTTTGTTTTTTCTTTTTAAATTTCCACACCCCTGTGTATGGGCATGTCTATATTGCCCTTATATTACGTATTGTTTAATGGGTTTGAAATGCTTCAAAGCTTAAACTATGGCATATTGATGTAACTTTCAGGGATCCTGAAATCTGGCGCCTAGCATGCCTGAAAGTATGGGGCAGAAACTGTGTGAAGTTGCTACCTTACATCACCTGGAGGCAGATGTTTCTTGAGAGGCCCCGTGTCCGCTTTGATGGTACATATTACTATTGCATTGTCTTATATTTTGTGTTTGCGGCTTATTAAAATGGAAAGTGTTTTTAATTTTTTGTATTTGCACCCATTTTATATTTTTTGTCCTATAGGTGTGTATATTAGCAAGACTACATATATACGCCAGGGAGAGCAGTCTTTGGATGGATTTTACAGAGCCTGGCACCAAGTGGAATATTACAGGTGTTTGAACACTCTTCACTGTATTTGACTTGAAACAAGAACAATAGAATAGTAATCTGTACTCTGAAAGTAGTGTGCATGTTGTGTGTTTTTTTTTTTTTTTTTTATATGTTCTCTACTCAGTCAACTTAATCTTTTGTTTCACATTTAACACAGGTATATGAGATTTTTTCCTGATGGTCATATTATTATGCTGACCACCCCAGAAGAGCCGCAAACAATTGTACCTCGTTTAAGGACAAAAAATGCAAGGTATGACTTTGTTGTCTGGTCATTTTATACTACTTTTTATGAAAAAATGTTTTTTTATAGTTTGGATATCTACTAACCCAATAACAAATGTAGAGTGGATAAACCAGGTTAATTCTACTTTAAATAGAGAAAAGCATAGAAATTGTCCCACCAAATTTGGGCAAACATGGAGCATGTGACAAGCAACACCAGGGCTAACACTGCCATATATCCCCCCACACCCCCATCCCCGTACTAGGTAAACTGCTTTTTTGTTAATGAATTAGGAATCTTTACAGGCTATATGGTTTAAGCCAGAGATACTTACATTTGCCACCTAACTAGCAGCATAATTGTTAGCGGTGTGTCACTGTGTGTCAACTGTGAACAACGTTGAGAAGGCTTACACAGATTACAGAGTACACAGGTTCTGATGTACATTGTAGGTATACGGAATTATTTGTCTTGTCATATACTCTGTTTTGACAAATGGAATGTTATGATAGAGTGATATGGTACCCAACTTACAGTTAACCACTGCTGTCTTAAGATGTGTGGCAAAGCACAAAACTATTTTTTCTTCTTTTTAAGGTGTTTTAGGTGTTATAAAAATACAATAAAAAATTATCTGGTTAAAAAAAGCTATAATTTATATTGGTACTGGAACTTGTATAGTTTGCTGCCAGTTAGTCTGTCAGTGATAGAGAACATACATGAAAACATGCAAGGTTGCAAAAAGGAGGAAAAAAAAAAATGTTTAAGGCCCTAATCACAGCAGGTGCACTTGGGGCTATGCTGGGCAGTTCCAGTGCAAATGACCTTGTTCTCTATCATGCCATATCACATTGCTGTGGTGTGTGCTGAAAAAAAATCACTGAAATGCTGTACTGCTTTTTCAGCACAGTGAGGTTCGATGCAGTGCAACGTATTGTGCTGCAATTGTGGAAAAGAATGTCACAAGTTCATATGGGAAAAAAAATAACAAAATCGCTTGGTGTGCTGTGGTCTGGCAATTGGCACTGTTCCGTCCAGTGTACACAAGGGGCCATGCATGTGTACAGCAAGGTCGCTGAACTTTGAGTGTTTATACCAGGAAGATGCCTGACAAGTGCAGACATCATCCTGGTATTGTTTTCAAGAGCCATTGGTAAGCTTTCTTGTAAAAGCTGTCATAGCGGCTAATTAGCCACTGAATTATATATTTTTTTTATTTTTTTTTTATTTTTTTTTTACATTTGATGGGATTTTAAGGGCAACCTTTAAATACACAGAAGAAGATACTTCTTTTATTTATACATCCAATATATTAAAAAGATGAACACATACAAAATTAATATCCAAAATGCTTCAAAATACATTTCAGAGCAATTCAAAGTACTTAAGTTCTAATGTTGTGGTGTGAGTTTCACTGAATCATTTTTAATTAGCCCCTGGATTGCTTTTGCAAGCAACGGAGACCAGCAACCAGGAGACCCAAAGCGTTCAGCTGTCACTTGTGCCAGCTGACCAAAGAGCTGATCAGAGACCTAAACTGCTCCAATCACAGCCGGATGTAAACCGTGCAGCATTTTGTCACACCGATCATAGTGTGATCAGATGCTGTGAAGGGCAGAGAAGAGATCTGGAGTCTAATAGATCCTAGATTTCTCAGTAAAGAGTACCTGTCACTGCCTATTGCTATCACAAGGGATATTTATATTCCTTGTGATAACAATAAATGTGATTTAAAAAAAAAGTTAAAGAGACAGTGTAAAAGAAAAACAAAACTGATTAAAAGCACCCCGTTGCCATATGATGGCACACAAAGGGAAATGCACGCATTAGTCCCACATGCATACATAACCAGTGATCACACCACACATGTGAGGTGTCACTGTGAAAAGTCAGATCGACAACTGTAATTCTATCACAAGGCCTTCTGTGTAAATCTAAAAGGGGCGTACGCAATTTTTAAAGCATCATGTTTGGTATTTATTTACTTGGCTTAACACCATCTTTTATATGTTACCAAACAATTGGGCATTAAATTGTGTTTTTAAGCATTACAGTTAAAAAGCGTTTTTTTCCAAAAACATTTATTGTGTTTGGAAAACCGCTGTGCAAATACTGTTTGACATAAAACAATTGCAACACCCACCATTTTATTCAGGAGGGCCTCTGCTTTAAAAAAATATATATAACGTTTGAGGGTTCTATGTATATTTTCTAGCAAAAAATACTGATGTTTACATGTAAACAAAAAGTGTCAGAAAGACCTAGTCTTCAAGTGATTTTTTGCAGACAAGTTTAAATTGTTTAGGAAACTGCTTATCCAACCTAGACAAAAATTATCCATCTGATAAAATCCAAAGGCCCACTAAACCATGTAAATTGTTTATAATTTTCTAATTATCAAAGTGAGCTGGGCTCATTACATGACCTTTGTGTTGGACTTCAACTTCTATACTGATATTGTGTGATTTGTAGCCTGGCTTTATCCCTGGTATGTATCTATCACCATGGTAATTCTTTGCATTAAACAAAGGTTTACCTGTACAGCACTTTCTGATTTTACTAAGCCGTGTCCAGCAATGGGTTTCCACAGGCACCTTGCTAGGTTTTAGATGAAAAAGTCTAACAATGCTGAAGGACTTGGGATGCTAAGCAATAAACAGTGGAATGCTAGAGTGGTTCCTGCCATTTGCCAGTCCCCAAGTGCACCTATTTACCGAAGGCAGCAAACACATAAAAAGCATTTCTCATATTCAACCTGGTTCAGGTGTTCACAAATTTTCCAAAGAAGGTAGTTCAAAGACTTGGAACACTTGAAGAAGCAACATCCTTATTTCTCCACGAGGTAGCTCTGGTATGGACTTCTCTTGAGCGCTGGCTGTTTTTTACATTCTGCTAGCAATTGATGTTCATGAGAGCCCTGGCAAGCATTTTTATTAAAACTGAATATTTTAATTGATGGCACTCAAGGCAAAAAGGATATTATCGAGATCTCTTGTTTTTTGCTTCATATGTTTGCCCTACATTACTCAAGCTGCTAGCACCTTTAAATAATATTGATGATACTACCCATTCGATTGGCTTCTAAAAAAAAAGTGTGCTAAGTTGGTTTTTTTTTGTTTATTTAGGTTTATGGAATCAAGTCATTAGTAATTGTAATGTGTATGCCCTGCCCACAGGAGTACTAGCATGATGCTACTGTTTTTCATTATAAACATGTACACTCAGTAAACAATACTGGTCATGCATGCGGTTATTTATTTTAAAATGTTTTGATGTTCCTTAGAATTGATTCTGTGCTGCTTGGCCATTACCGTCTGACTCAAGACACAGATAACCAAACCAAAGTTTTTGCAGTTGTAACCACCAGGAAGGAAGAGGTATGTGTTTGCTGGTAAAATGTCCCATGTAAAGATAATCTAAAAGAATGTGTCTTTATTTCAAAGATTTGGCACACAGTACATCTATAGCACTAGTGTTCCAGAGCATTGAGTTTTCAAAAAAGAGCACAGCAGAAGGTATGTGCTGACTTTTGCTAACTTTAAGTCTATAAAAAGCAGGAAAGGAAGGAATGAGTCTCTTTTCTGCCTTATTCGGGTGTGCTTGCAATTCAAATTTGAGCTATTGAGCTGTCAACAGCAGATTTTTTCAGAAAAGCAATTGGATTTACTTCCAGATAAAACTTACTTCATTTTTTTTACTGGCACCAGAGGGACAGGAAGTAAAAAAAAAAAAAAAAAAAAAAATCTCCCCAATGGGGGTTACAGAAAAAAAATTGTTAATATGGTAGGTTAGGCCAGAACATGAAAAACAAATGTTTAAAAAGGGGAAGAAATCGCGGATCCCATTCCTGTCCTCACTAAACATAAATCCAAAGGAGGGATCGGTCTTCCAGTATTTTTCACTTACTATTATGCAACGATGCTGGATCAACTTCCAGCGTGGTTTGTCCCGTCCGATAAATTATGGGCACAAACAGAGCAGAGTTTGGTTCCCAACAGAGACCTTCGGGCATTATTGTTGGCTAGGTCTGTCACATCCAAACTCTTAACTACATTTCTTCCATCCATCAACGCAACACTGGAAGCATGGATAATATGCCTGAATAAATTGACTACCTCCTCTCCCAAGCTTCAAATTGATATTCCATTATCCGCATATGAATACTTTATCCCGAATCTCAATACCAATCCCTTAAAGGATCTAGGTTGCAGTACTTTAGCTGAAATAGGAAACTTTATCCCATGCAGAGGCCTATACTCTTTTTGCAAATAAGAGGCTCTCAGTGTTAATATGAAGAAATGGCTTGAAAAAGACTCTAAAATATGGCATGTTTTAACTAACCTTATTAGATTAAAAAAAAGGTATCTCTTGGTTCTACAAGTTTTTGCACTATGACAATGATGTCTCTGTTCCAAACTGCGTGGGTAGATGGGAGAGGGATCTACAAAGATCTTTTACCAGAGATGAGTGGGATGCAGCCTTGAGCAATAATATGAGTATTACAAAATGTACCAATCATTGGGATTGCTCTCTAAAAATACTGTACCGCAGCTACCTTACCCCATACAAACTAGCTAATATGTATCCTAATGTGTCACCATTGTGCTGGATAAACTGTGGCAGGGAAGGTAACCTGTTTCATATTATGTGGGAGTGTCCCTGCCTACACATTTTTGCAAGAGTTTTTTGCACTTATTTCGTGGGTATCTGGAATGCTGACTAGCCCGGCACCGCATTTGGCATTACTTAATATCACCTTAAATCTATTCCCTGGTCAATTTAGAACAATAATTGGCCATATACTTATTGCTGCCAGATTGTCCATTGCTGCTGCCTGGAAATCAAGAAAAACCCCCTCAATATCAGAAGTAATTCAAAGCGTACACTCACATTATATTTGCGAGAGGGCTGTGGCCATTTCCTATCAACATATGTAGAAATTTGATCTGAAATGGTCTGGTTGGAAAGAATTCTGTCACACATTATGAGTATATAGAATTGAGTGTGATGTGGTTCCAGTGGCTAAATATGAGCTCTGTTCTTTTCTAACCCATTATGTATCTCCTTTCCTTTTCTCTTTTTTTTTTTTTTTTTTTTTTTTTTCCTTTTTCCCCTTCTTTTTCTTTCTTTTTTCCTATAATTTATAATACCTGGAGGTCTGACCATATGTGGGTCCACTCTTCTGGGATAACTGTGATGGCAGTTAGTGCACTATACAAATACTCTACGCCTTAATTGTAACCACCTTTGTTGGAAACCAAAATTGCAATTATTGCATTGTTTATGTATATCTTTAATGGTCAATAGGCCAGTATATGATTGCTTTCACAAATTTTAAGACCGTGCTTGAACCATGGTGCTTAGAAAAGTTTGTACTTGCTCTCTATTCTGAATCCTTTTATATTGTTGTAATTGTTAAAATTTCAATAAAAAAGATTTGAAAAGAAAAGTAAATATATAAACCAAACACTATATATTTACTTTCAACATGATAGTTGCTATGGTTTGCACATTTTCTGTAAATCATACTTGTGGGTCTCATTTGTAAAACAAACAAATTGAGCCCTATTAATTTATTACTGTAATGCATACATGCTGCATATGCATTTAATAAATATGGCTCTTTCTACTTTTTATTATCTGTTGTGTGCTGGCAGTCCATAGGAGAGTCTCACATTTAAGAATCAACCCAGCTCTTTGGGAGCGAGAGTGGTGTGGATTAGTCCAGTATTCAGTGAGGCATGGGTGACCCCGTGTGTGTGTGTGTGTGTGTGTGTGTGTGTGTGTGTGTCACGGTCCAACACTCCTATATGCTTGACAGCACAGGTTTTTAAGCCTTGCTGCTGCACTTGCTTGAAAAGAACAGATGCATTTAGTAATGTATATGTAGCCTGACTACATTGTAGTTTGGCTTTAAGAGATAATAGAATTATGAGCTGATATAAGGTTCCAAGTATTTACATGCTGGCTTCATCCTTTCATACTTGCTCCTTTATGCAGAAACCTACAGAGTACCAAAAATATCGTTACTTCCGCCGTGCCCCAGTGCAGGAAACTGACCATAGCTTTCATGTGGGGCTTCAGTTGTGCTCAAGTGGTCGATATAAATTCAACAAGTTGGTTTGGATTCATCATTCTTGTCATATTACTTACAAGTAAGTTTGAGAATGTGATGACTGTGAACACTTTCCACATAACTTCAGTGGAAATGTATTGCCTGTTCCAAAGGTCATATTTGAGAAAATATACAGTGGGTATAGAAAAGAGTCACTCCCCTTTTTAAAATCAAATTTTTTTGCTTTGCAGCCGGAAATGAAAACAAACACAGTTTTTGTTTTATCCAGCTGTATTTACTCATTGCAACTTGTAACATTGAAGTGAAAGATATAACGTCAACATGTCAGAAATTTATTTTTTTTATATTTCAAAAAGAATCACTGAGTTGGAAAAAGGATCATCCCCTTGTGTCAGTATTTTGTTGAACCGCCTTTTGCTTTCATTACAACCTTTAGTCTGTTGGGATATGTCTACTAATTTTGCAATATTTTCCCACTCTTCTTTGCAGAACTGCTGAAGTTCAGTTAAATTTGATTTTGATTGTTTGTGGACTGCAGTCTTCAAGTCATTCCACAGATTTTCAATGGGGTTTAAGTCTGGGCTCTCACTAGGCCATGCAAGAACAATCCCCTTTTTCTCCTTCAACCACTGTGTGGACATTTTTGCTGTGTGCTTTGGTTCAGTCATGTTGGAAGGTAAACCTTCTTCCCATTGACCACTTTCTGGCAGAGGGCAGCAGATTTCCCTCAAGAATTTGGTAGTATTTTGCTCTTTTTCCTTATATCCTGACCAGTGTTCCAGTCCCTGCCGCAGAGAAATGCCCCCACAACAGGACATTACCACCTCCCATGTTGTACAGTAGGAATGGTGTTATTTGGATGTTGAGCTGTATTTGATTTCCACCAGACATATCGTTTAGTGTTGAGGCCAAATTCAATTTTAGTCTCATCTGACCAGAACACCTTTCTCCATGCAGCCTTAGAATCTTCAAGGTGCGTTTTGGCAAAGCTTTGTCGTGGTGGCATGTGGCCTTTCTTGAGGATTGGCTTTTTTCTTGCCAACCTCCCATACAAGGCACATTTGTGGACAATCTTGTGTTATTGTTGTCACATGCACACAATAACCACTCTTTGTCTTAAATTCCTGCAACCTCTTGGTAGCCTCTCTGACCAGTTTTCTCCTGGCTCTTTCATCCAGTTTGGAGCGACATCCTGATCCATGGTGGGTCTGTATTGTACCAAATACCTTCCACTTCCTAATAGACTTCACTATGCTTCTTGGCATTGGGGGGGTTGTTTGGGGAGTGCAGTGCTTTGTTCCAGTTTACTTTTTTTATGTCATCTTTATTGAAGTGTCACAAAATGACACTTCATTAAGGCCTGTACATGGGAGTACATTGCTGTGCAGCTTAAAATTCAAGACTAGCTGCATTTATATGTAGCGCACCTCATCTTAATTCAACATCGTGGTGTGAACATGGCTCATAGAAAATAACTGTTTTCTTTGTGCCCATAAGTTGTGCCTACATTGATCTATACAGATCAAAGCAGTTCAACAGATCAGGTGTAAACATACCTTTTAATCCTTAGTTTCTTTATTTTAGTTTATAATATAAGCACGAGGGGAAAAAAATAGCATACTGAAGATGGAGAAATTACCTAACATAGATTCAGATCTTTTTTTTGATCTCTATCCATCCACCTTTGTTCAGTAAGTATTGAATGTATGATGGCTTTATATTTCTAAAATAACAAGGATCGTATGAAAATTTAAGGAAACAAGCTACAAATTAAAGATGTTGATGTAGGAGGAAAAAAATGTTGATAATCCTAATTTGCCTTATTGTTGATCATTGTTATTTGTACTGTAAATTTACAGAATTGCATATTGTTTCCTTAGTGAGTTAATGTGTTTTTTATGTTTTGGGGGGTTTTTTTTGTCCATTTTGGTTTCCATTAAAGTGATACTAAAGAGAGAAGGGTTGATTGCCATAATTCATTCACATTATCAATTTATATATAATGCCGCTGTATTAGAATTTTTTTTTTTTGCTTTTTTTTTTAATTCATTAAGTACTTTATTGCTGCAGCTCTGTTGTGTGGTCATGTGATCTTTCCTTGTTCTTTGGCATCTGCAAGGAAAGATCTATGGGAGGGGCTTCTATTTCTCTGCTGATGTATGCTCTCTGCAGTGCGAGTCTGTGTCTGGATAGCCCCTGATTAGTGCTGTTCTAGCCACATGACTGAAAAAAAAATCTTTTCAGAAGAACAATTCAAATTCAATTATGAATATGGAAAAACTGTTTTATATAGCTCCCCTTGGTGCCGATGCCTCCCGGCTCTTTAAGGGTTTCAGAAGCTAGGAGGTGGTTTTAGGGTCATGTGACTGCCGTGATTCGCGGTCACATGATCGGGAAAAGTCCTGAGTCATGTGTGACTATAGTCATGTGGGCTTCACAAATAAGAAAAGAGGAAATTAAGAGTTTAGAGGAAAATTGCAACTGGAGTATTCTCAGTAGAGAACACCAGCTGGTCTACACAATCTCCGGCTGCAATGGGGGACACAGAAGCAGGGGAGGGACAACTGTAAAAAGGATCAACCAGATATATTTGTTTACACAAAACGAACACTTTAGTGGCTTTGTGAGTATGCACACTCTGTTATATAGCATGCAATGAGCGTTTTTGCATAGTCTAGGTTTAATGACACTTTTTAAATTTCTCTTTTACAGATCCACTGGAGAGACAGCGGTAACATCATTTGACATTGATAAAATGTACACACCACTCTTCTTTGCCCGTGTGAAGAGTTACACTGCTGTATCAGAGAGACCCCTCTAAAGTTTCTCTTTTCATTATTGCATGATTTTTAAGGATAATAAGAAAACAATGATGCTTTTGGCATACATTTATCTGTGACTTCTGCTGCAAACAGTGGGTGCTTTAAAAGATGATTTTGTTTTGGGGGCATGTAGGGGTAGAATTGTTTTTCTAAACTTGAATTCTTATTTTCAGGCATTGTGCATTTTGCAAAAATGTTTTGATAATTCTATCAGCATAAGTTGTTCTCTGCTGTTTTTTTTTTTTTTTTTTTTCCAGTATGTTATTACTGTTTTCTGTTGTTACACAAATTGCCCCATGGCTGTTTAACTGAATGTTGTGTTCTTCAAGACATTCACCTACTGAAAGCGGTACATGACATATGCAAGATATCAGTTTGGTTGTGTCCCTTACACTCTGAAATACACTATTCATTGGTGTTTCTAGAGAGACTGGAGAAAACAGAGGGATGATCTCTTTTTTACAGTTGCCTCTCGTTTTCCCATCTAAAACAATATTACATTAGCCGAAAGCACTTAAAACCGTTGATTTGGTTTGCATGGCAGTCAGGACACTTGAAAGTGTCATGTGAATTTCCTAGTAGCAAATTCTACAATGGCGATGCATCACTGCAGTTCTTTGTTGGATCTGCTTCCCTTACTGCTCATACTGCTTTGCATTCAGTCTTGCAGATTGCCATTTGATATCTGGGTGTTCAGAATGATTAAAAAGTAGGAAGACTGAAAGAGCAGCACACTGACAAAGACACTTCATACTGGTGGATTTTTGTTAGATTCCTTATAGAAGTATAGCTTCATGAGCCAAGTGCTGTAATTGTCCTCCACCTAAAACTGAAGTTACCATTCTTGTGGAGTTCTCAATACAATCTTCTTTCCCAGTTAATGAGATAGTTATACTTAATGCTTTAACTGCACAGAGTTCTTGGGTTGTAAATGACAATCCTGGGAATGATGTAGATCCCAGATCCCTTGCAAAACATGCTAGCAAATTATTTCATTATAAATGAGAGTTGTGTGCAATATTTCCTCTGTTTTATAAAGGGAACCATTGGCAAAACAATCCTGGATTGTTATAATCTTACAGGAATGAGGAATGTACTTTGCCATGGAACCTGTTCTAAAAAGCCTTGTGTTTTATGTATCTTTGTTACCTCTTTTTTCCCTTCAATTAAAATTGAATTATGGAAAGAATACACTGAATGATTTGTTAACTCGTCATGGGTCTTGTTATTTTTGTTTAGTATCATGGTTATCAGTTAATTTAAATAACCTTTTATTTTTAGAGCACCACTTTTTTTTTTTTTCTTTATTCTTTTTTTATACAGGAAACTGAACATTAAGATGGAAGGAGGTGAAATTATTGATGAGATTCTTTACGATATAGTTGAACTACTTTCACTCAAGTTTTTTTTTTTTTTTTTTTTTTTTTTGTAAATGTAATGCTTTCAGCTAATTAGCTTCCACAGTAAGACTTTTGTAAAATCAGAAATATTGAATCAGTAGGGCTATTACTAACTGATAAAGGTGGTTCATACACATACACTATTATATTTCTACAGTGGAGCCTTCCTTAAATGGATATAGTGTGTACTCTCCAGCGCTCCAGGAATCAAATGTCAAAAAGGAGGCCAAGGGAACCGGGGACAAGAGTGGCCTATGGAAAATGCCTCTGGGATGCAGCCCTCCTCGGATGGGGGAATCAACAACTGGAGAAAGGGCAAACAGGTGGCGCAAACACCTAGTGCATTATCCAAGATTTATTGACAATAAGAAAAGACAAAAACATACAGACATAGCATGCATGTATGTAAACCTTTGTATAATCGAGATGGCTGCAACAAAGGGCAGGGTGTTCTGACTGTCAGTATGGTCGGCTTGCTGACGCATTTCAGGGACACATTTCTTTCCTCAGAGCTACTGACCAGCCTGCATGTGGGTTGAGCTATAAACAGCCATGGCTGAAAGCATTAGAAGCAATGCCCCTTCCTCCGGGCTTGTTAGAGGGGTTATTAAAAGTGCTTGAATGAATAAATTAATAAAAATGCAAAAATCAGAGGATTTACCCCCCTTTCTGACCAGGCCATTTATTGCATTATGGCGATGCATTACTTTAAGGGACAAGTGCGTGAGTATGCAACTCTGCACCCAAATGAAAATTTTTTTTCCCACTAATAGAGCTTTCTTTCGGTGGTATTTGATCGTCTGTATTTTTTTTTTTTTTGTGCTGTAAAAAAAAAAAAAAAAGACAATTTTGAGGAAAACAAAACAATATTTTTTTGCTATTAACCTCTTCATGCCAAGTGCACGCAAATGTGCGGCCTCTCAGCGTCTGGGCCTTGACACCGAGCGGCCACACATTTGCGTGCAATTAAAAAAAAAAAAAAAAACCGTGCTGACAGCACGTGCTCCTATCACACATCTGGTACTTACGGAAAGGTCCCGATCTCCTCTTATATTCAGGACTTTTCCCGATCATGTGACCGCAAATCACAGTGGTCACATGACCCTAAAACCCCGCCCACCTCCCAGCTTCTGAAACCCTTAAAGGGCCAGGAGGCACCAGCAAATAATCAACGTGTAAATTAATTGGTTTACATGAAAGTTATATTGTAAAACGCTAAGCAAACTGGCGCTATATAAATCCTGTATAATAATAAGTTATAGCGTTTACAAATGGCGGTGGTTTGTGTATATATATATAATGAGATTTTTTTATTTTAATTTTTACTAGTAATGGCGACAACGTATAGTGGGACTGTGGTGGGCATTCTGACACTGGGGGAACTTACTTGGTGTCACTCACATTCCCAGTGACACCAATACAGACAGTGATCAGTGCTAATAAAAAGCACTGACACTGTACTAATGGCACTGGGCAGGAAGAGGTTAACATCTGGATGATCAAAGGGTTAACGATGTGCTGTGTGTGCTTCACTGTACGCACACTGCTATGCATGGCTCTGCTATGCAAAGCCATGTATAGAAGTGTGCAGGAGCTGACAGGAGAGAGAACCGTATTGTTTACTTACTGTTCTCTCCCTCCATCAGTAATCCTCCTCAATCACCGGCCGGGACCCGGTGATTGACAGCCGAGGCTGTGAATAGCGGCGCAGGAAGGGCGCGTGTGCACCCCCTACCCAGAAGAAATGCAAAACCACGTGTATATATATATACGGGATTTTGCACACCTGTGCCGCTCTGTAGCAGTATTACTGCTATAGGGCAGACAGGAAGCGGTTAAAGTGATACTAAACCTACTGCCACCATTTTGTACTTTTATATCCTGTTTAAATAGTATTATATTATTTATACAGGATTTATATATCGCCAACAGTTTGCTCAGCGCTTTACAATATAACGGGAGACAATACAGCAACAATGCAGTTCAATACTAGAGGGAAAGGAGGTGAAAAGGGGAGTGGTTAATGAGCCCGCGGTTTTTAAAACAAGAAGCTTTTTCAAGCTGACAGAGACTTGGGTTCAGTAGCCATTTTTAAGCTCATGCTGAACAAAGGACACACATGCTTTAACACAAAGAAACTACATATTTTGCTTTCATTCAAGGAACAAACAACTTATATTTTTTATTTTATGCTACATTTCTTTTTGTATTTAAAATGGTAATTTTTTGTATTGACTTTGTATCTTTTGTGTGTGATCAAATAAAGTCACACTGATTTTTCTTAGCTTGCTCTAGAAAGGATTTATTCCTACAATCACCTAAAGACACAAGAATATTAAGAGTTTTTTCACAACTCTAGAATTCCAAGAGCTGGTTCGCACTTTCTGGGCGTTCAGACATCCGGCGTCTGTTTCTTAAATTTGCAAGGCGGCGACTTGGTCATCTGTGCACATATTTACGACATTTTATACAGTTGATGTGTAAGCATCCTGGATGCTAGTTTTGGCTACATTGTTTTGCAGGCTGCTGTTTTAGACTCCTAGGCGCCCCTTTGGGGTGGCTTGGAATGTTGGCATTTTGCCCTGGGTTTTTTCTCGATTACGTGTTCTGCCCACCCCTTGTTGTGGCACTGCTTTGGGACATTCCTGTTTTGGTCATGGATAAAAAAGAGGCTGTGTCTGTCATTGAACATAAGAGAAAACGGGATGTTACCTTAAAATTCCTTTCTCTGAGTTCATTTAATTTTTTTCTCTTTGACACTACTTGCGACTAACTGGGTTGACTATAGCAGAGAGGAGGTTATATACCCGGAGAGGACTGTGGAAGTGCTGAGTTTCTTTTTCTGCCTAGTGTCCTACTCCTGTAGGTGGGGCTAAAAAAAACCCTGTGTGTTCATGGATAATGAAGAAAGGCTGTGTCCATCAATGAACTCAAAGAAAGGGATTTTACAGCGAGTAACAAAAAATCCTGTTATTTCTATCCTGAAAGATTCTCTTTAAAACATTTAACCCAATGTACAAAAACACTTTTGTTTATAGTTAATTTTGAGTCAGAAATGTACACTTTTTTTTTAATCAACAAAGTGAAACAAACATATTACTGCACATTGTATCAAGTGAGATAATGGGATACATTATATTGCCAAAAATATTGGGATGCCTGCCTTTGCACGCACATGAACTTTAATGACATTCCAGTCTTAGTCCGTAGGGTTCAATATTGAGTTGGCTCACCCTTTGCAACAATAACAGCTTCAACTCTTCTGGGAAGGCTGCCCATAAGGTTTAGGAGCGTGTCTATGGGAATGGGGCCATCCCCAAACTGTTCCCACAAAGGTGGGAGCATGAAATTGCCCAAACTGTCTTGGTATGCTGACACCTTAAGATTTCCCTTCACTTGAACTAGATGGTCGAGCTCAATCCCTAAAAAAACAACCCCACACCCCCACCACCAAACTTTACACTTGGCACAATGCAGTCAAGCAAGTACAATTCTCCTGGCAACCACCAAACCCAAACACATCCATCGGATTACCAGAGAAGTGTGATTCATCACTCCAGAGAACACGTCTCCACTGCTCTAGAGTCCAGTGGTGGCAT